AACTCCGCACGGAGCGACACCGGGCCAAAGCGTCCCGGGAGTGTCTGCATGCCATCTGCTCGGACATTTACTACGTGGCTGGAGAGATCAACACGGCCGAGGGACTCAAGAAGGCCGTAAAGGAGCTGTTCCGCAAGCACGCCTCCGATGATGAACTTAAGCGATTTGTCACCCTGGACGCGGAAGTCAGGGACGAGTTTATGCGGCAGCGCAGGCAGATCGAGAATGTCCTAGAACGATACAAATCGGTGGCCGAGGACAAGTCCGTGCAGAAAAAGTATGATAAGCTGTTCAAGGAGAACGTGGTGCTCATCGAGGAGATCGAGAAGCTGCAAGAGACAAACAAGATGCTGCGCAGCAAAGTCAAGGAGGACTTGCGCCGGTCAACGAAGACAATCTATAAGTAGACAGGACTCTCTTCATTTCCTGAGGGAAAGCATCGTCTGTTAAAATATGTATTTCACATTGGACTTATTGAGAAATGTAGTTAATCGGCAATATATACATACAAAATGGCATTGGTTTCGTTTTAGTTTAGGTTCTATGCCTCCACCAGGACTTTCTTGGGTTTGCTGCTGATTGCTTTGGTCTTTTCCGGCTCTTCGACGGGTTCGCTTTCGGCGGGCGTAGGCAGATCCTCGGTGGGCACCTCGGGCAACTGCACGCCCTTCTGCTGCTCTTCCTCCGCCTCGAGGGCATCCAATTCGGCCAGGACATCCTCCTCGTCCTGCGTGGTCAGCACATCCGTCAGTATGGCGTCTATTTCCTGCTGCTTTTCGATGCCCTCGCGGGTTTCGTCCATGATTCGTTCCACCTCGTCGATGTCCAGCATTTCGTGCACCTTTTTCAGGGCCGCGTTGCCCGCCTTGAGTCCGTCCAGCACCTTCATCTCCACCTGGGCGAATTCCAGGTCAGCAGCCAACTTTTCCAGGTTCTCGAGCTGCTTGTCCGCATTGGTAAGCAGACTCTCCTGGTACTTCTTTTTGCGCAGTAAAAGTTTGGCCCGACTGAAACAGAATCACTTGTGTTAAATGGATCTGTATAGTACAAATATATCAGGTATTATACATACTCCTTGCGACCCTGCTGCAGGCACTTCCTGGCCATAAGTCGATCATTCTCCAATTGCGTTTCTATGCGTTTTTGGTACTGTTTGAGGCGATCCCTTTGTTGCTTTAATTGCTGCAATGGGAAAAAGGTATGGGGGATTTCAGAAGACTTCCGAGTGACGCAGTGACCACCAACTCACCAGCACCGCCTTGTCCTGGTCGGTAATCCGGCTAGGAGCCGTCTTTTTGCTGCTTTTCCCAAACAAAGCTCCCATGACTAACTACGAGGCAGTGCTGTCAGCTCGACTATTTCGTAGCCAATGAGGATAACAGGTGATAATTTTGAAGGAATGCATTTGTGGCTACCGTGACCAATATGTACAAGTTTATATTTTGTATAATGTTTTAGAGAAATGTATAATTCATAAACAATAAATTCATATTTTTATTATAATTTAAAATTTTGTTGCTGCAATTTTTAAAATTCTTTTATTTTTAGGCTTTTTTAATAGGCGATTTAGCTTCTTTTTGGAGGCAGCACTGCAGTGTGGCCGTCACCATAGTAATGAAATATTCTAAAATAAAACTTACCAAATTTCATTTTAGCGAGGACACAAACCTTTTACACATTTGATAATATTTTGCTACTACAAATTTTATATTAAGTGTATGGCAACTGTTATCATTAAATAAATATTAATTTTTCTTATATTCACTTATTTGGCAGGCTTACAACAGTAAATTACTGTAATTTCTGTATTATTTTCATAATCTTCAAAAGGTATTGACATTTTGGACCAAAAACTCTTATAATCCAATTAGTAGCATGTAAAATTTGCGAGTATGTCCAAAAGTTTTTAATTACAATTTTTGTTTCTAGTAATAGTTGTCGGAAGAATACATAAGCCCTTCATCCAAACAGTTGCTTTATATCAGCTAACTGATATGAGTCACAGTCACATAAGGTAGTATTACAAATATACGAGAAAAAAGAGTTTATAGTTGATCCATTAGTTTTTAGTTTTTCCCAATATTTAAATGCAACAATACTACTCGTTTGTACAGTTAATTATTCCGTTTTATTCGCACTTGCGTGCAAACCATTTTCAAGTTGTAAAAAATAGTTCTAATCCAAATTGAAAACCAGACAGAGTAGTTTAACGGTACGACTTCTGGTAGCGAGCACGGGCACCTGGACCGCCGAACTTCTTGGGCTCGCAGCGACGCGGATCGCCGACCAGCAGGGTTCTGTCGTACTGCACCAGAATGTCCTTGATCTCCTTCTTGGAGGCCTCATCGACGTCTGTAAGAAAGAAAATACAAAGAGTTAGTAAACCATACATTTTCTTAAGGAAATTCATCATTAGTTACGCTACTAAAGTGTCGATGAAGCCTCAAATAGCAATGGTCAAATCTGCCGAACGCTCTCTTTGATTGCGACATGCACTTAATCTCCCTTGCTCGAGTCGTTCATTGGAAAAGGCTGTGTATTCCAACAAAAATCTGGGAGAAGGTGCTTAATACTTCAAAAAGGCTCAAATGTTTTTGAAGCATCACCCAATCTGCACAATAAGCTTGCAGCTTGGTTGGTATATGCTCATAAAATAATTTAATCTACCTTTCAATAATGATTCGGAGGAAAAGGCTACTATTCCAACAAAAATCTGGAAAAAGGTATCTAAATATCCTAATGTTCCTGAAGCATCACCCAATCTGCTCAATAACCTTGCAGCTTGGTTGGTATATGCTCATAAAATACTTTAATCTACCTTTCAATAATGATTCGGAGGAACAGGCTATTTATTCCAACAAAAATCTGGAAAAAGGTATGTTAATAACATAGTGTTCCTGAAGCATCACCCAATCTGCACAATAATCTTGCAGCTTGGTTGGTATATGCTCATAAAATAATTTAATCTACCTTTCAATAATGATTCGAAGGAACAGGCTAATTATTCCAACAAAAATCTGGAAAAAGGTATTTAAAACTCCTAGTGATCATAAAGCATTACTCAATCTGCAGCTTTGTTTTTCTTTAAAATCTAATATAACAACCAGTTACACTTACATTTCTGGTAGAAGGCAACGAGGGCCTTGGAAATGGCCTGGCGGATGGCGTAGATCTGGGCTACATGACCACCACCGCTAACGCGCACGCGGATGTCCACGCCGGCGAATTTCTCCTGAAAAATATAAATTTATATGAATTAATAAGGGCTTTAAAGGGGTTAAAAATAAGCCTTTTGGTTGATTTTCATCAGAAACAAAAAGTAATCTCATTTGGCTTCGAATTCGGGATAATTGTTATCATCATTTTGGTTCTAAAAACCATGCTTCCGTTTTCGAGTAGGTGTTATTAAAAATTAAATATTTTAATAAGAGATTAAATACATTGAATCACCGAGTTTTAAAAGGAAACAAACAAATTAAATTGTACCTTTACCTCTAAATGGTAATTTGATCTTAAAACAAAGATTTTCAATCGGTGTTTCAAAACAATATAAGGTTTGATCAATTAGTGGCACTCTTATAAACGGAAACCTGGCCTTTATGACTTCTCTTCTTTCACACTACATTACCTTGCCGAGCAACAGGAGAGGCTCCTGCAGTTTGTATTGCAGGACCTTGGGCTCAATCTGCTCCAGGGGACGACCGTTCACCTTCAGGAGGCCGTTGCCACGCTTGCAGTAAGCGACGGCGGTGGCGGTTTTCTGCAATAATAAAGATTGCCGGCATTACTACACACGCTCCATGGAGATTCGGGATGGAATTCAAATTCCAGGTCAAAACCCTCGCACACACAAACATAACCTCTGCGATGAGGCGGCGGCTCTAAATATTTGCCGCCGCTGGACAGACGCGAGTTTTTGTCTGCGACACGTGCGAAAACTTTATTGGATTTCAGCGGTTTTATTCACACACACCTTGCGTCCGAAGACCTGGACTGCCTGCACGGGTTCTCTGCGCTGCAAAATACAAATATTTGCAACATTTTAGACATTAGTAAGGCACGAATTCTTCGTTTTTTCACAGGCACAAATACCTTCTGCTGCATTTTGCTCCGCGAGTTGGGTAGGAAAAGAGCGGAAGTCGCGTTGACAGTTGGTGTGACCGGTTTTCGGCAATAACGCATCTGTCAGTGCGAAAATACCGAAAAGCGACATCTGCCGGGTAGTGCTGTAAAACGACAAACTATCGGATAGGTCAAATTTAAATTTCAATATTTGTATTTAATTTGAATTTATTATCTATTTTATTGAACGAAATTTTAGTTTTCATGTTCTTTTTCTTCACTTGGCTTATTTATTATACGCCGATCAGCTGCTTTTGCATCAGTGGGTTCCTTTGTGAATGAATCACAGCAATTTTTTAAGCTGCTTTGTGAGAACTGCATTATATAATAAATGTTATATATTTATTTAAACGAAAAATTGGATAGAAAACGATTGTTGCGAAACTAAAAATAGTAAAGGTTAAGTGTATTACTATAAACCGATCGGAATAATTTATCGATAATTATGCGGTCCCAGTAATGGATTCGGGAGTACCAAGAGCCTGTTGCTCATTTTCTTAATATGCTCGTTAAAGCTGCTCGATAAACTATGTCCGTATAGCGACTTGGCCTGTTTAGAAGTCATTGGTGTTGACGACCTTTGATTTCGAAAAGGAGATGTTTAATTTTTCCACCCAGCTAGCTGATAAATTTGCCATTCTTAAAGCACAGGCATAAAAGGCATTATAGGAAGTACGATCAAATAAATGTTTTCTGAGATTCTTTTAAAAAGTTTTTGTTGCCTTTTAAAAAAAGTCCTATTATGTCAAAGAAAGCAAATCCAAAAATGTTGAAAAATCGAAATACATCGATAATATTTTTGTATTTTGGTATTTTATGCACATCGTATATACAAACGATATCTTGCACGGAGCCGTACCATCTCCATCCCAATCGATAAATTGTCATCTCCAACACAAAGCAATGAAAAAACGGATGTAATTGGTGCATAAGTGTCAGTGAATTCCCGAAAAGTGCTTAGAGTGCAGGATTCCGCGAGCAAAAAATGGTTGTCTGCACAGCCACGATGCCTATGGAAACGAGGCAGGTGCCCGCGATGAAGAAGGAGCCCCTGCAGCTGATGGATAACGATAACACCGCGAACCCTGAACCTTGTGACCCCTGCGACGGGGGGGTCGCGAAAGAAGATCGCGAGGAGGGCGAGATTGTTGACGACTTTGAGCTGATCATTTCGTCTGAGGACGAGGAGTTCAAGCTCCGCGCCCGCATCCAGCAGCTGGAGGAGAACAACAAGGATGTGGAGCGCATGGACATGCTGTCCGCCAATTTGGCACATCAATACAGTAAGCAACATGTTGGGTTCTACGCATTTAGATAAAAAGGGCTTGTCATTTTATGGGATGAACTTGAATATTTGTGAGTAATTGAATCGTTTCTGATTGGTTCATGTCTTGTGCTTACAGATTACCCTAAGCCTGTGCCGCGCCTGCCGACTTACCAGCAAAAGCCCTCTGTTTACATCCTGTCAGATGTGTCTAGTCAGTCGGAGGACGAGTTCGAGACACAGCGCAGGTATCGCAAGCACAAGCTGCGTCGCCTAGATCTGGGCAAAAAGAACCATCAATCGTTGTCCAGTGATTACAGGAGGAACCCCTTTGCTAGGCGCCACAAACAGCCTTCGCCACCCTCACCTGTGCCTCAGCAGCGCCGGCGGCAGGGCTATAACCACCACCAGTCCAATCATCACCAGCACCGCCACCAGCAGCACTACCAGCTTCAAGATTCCCTAGACAGCGTCACTGATGGCGAGCTGGGCGAATACGATATGAACGATGAGAACGAAGAAGACGAGATTGATCTGCAAAGGCTCAAACTGAGCAGGGATAAGCTGCGCGTGGCATTAGCTCGGGAGGAGCGGCCGGATGTCATAAGTCAGTACAAAAACAGCCTCAGGGAGCGACTGCAGTACCGCATGCGCAAGTCCCCCAGTCCCAAGTATAGAAAGGAATACCCGCAGGAGGCGGAACTACCGCTGCCTCCTCTGCATGCGCTCTCCGACGGCGGAGAGGATGAACCCGAACAAGAGCAGCCGCAAGGCGAAGATCCTGCCGAGCTCAAGTTGCGACTGATAGCCCTTAAATCTGCGATACTGAAAAAGCATCTGGCGCGCAAAAAGCGAGATGCGGAGCGAGCCTACTCGCCCACTGATATGATCAATCGTGTGCATCCCGCCATTTCCAATGACGACGACATCGATGACCTGATGGAGATCAGTCCAGCAGCATCGCCAGACCGTGTGCAAAGTCCCCCTAGATACTCAATAGACTATGCCGTAGACACAAAGCCCGTGGACATGGAGCTGGCTGAAACGGACAGCGATGATCAGCATAAGGATGTCTGGAATTCTTGGTCGAACAACTGGAACTCCATGGACCACGCAGGTGGCAGTTGGCGCTGCTTCTTGCCCAACACCCTGCCGCATGTTTCGGTTCCCATTGTGATAGACGAGGAAGATGAGGATGATATGAAGACGGATGGTCGGATAAGGACAGAGCATAGAGATTTCGACGCCGATGACGATGAGGTACCGCCACCACCGCCGCCCTTTCACATTCCACATATGCATCTGGAGGACGAGGATGCCCGGGATGCCATGCACCTGGTCGACCAGCATTCCAGTCATAGTTATATTACTGAGATGCAGTCCGTTTCAATGGAAAACTCGCAGACGCAATTGAAGGCTCTCGACCAATCCCAGCCGGATTCCAGTGATGACGAAGCGGGAGCGTTGCGAGCCATTTTGCTGTCTAATTTGCGAGCAATTAAGCCACCTCCACCTCCTCCAGCAACTCCTCCTCCGCCCGTTGCTCCCGCTTTTGTTCCTGCTCCTGTTCCGGCGCCTGTTCCTGCTCCGGTTGCAGCCCCTGTACCAGTTCCAGTACCTGATTTAGTTTCCCCACCTGTAATTGCTCTTGTACCTGGTCCTTTAGCGAAACTTAAAGAGGAATCAAGCCAGGAAAATGACTCAGATGATCCGGAGGAACTGCGTTTACTGCTCCTCTCCAGCATAGCTGGCAAGAAGCGAGTCAATGGCCCTAAATCGCAATCAGATTTAAGTCCAGAGATACTTAAAAATGCTGTGAGGCGTTTCCAATCCACTGGATTGCCATTAAAAGACGAACAGTCGCAGGATCAGCAGCCAATTTCAGAAGAGAGTGCTGAACTAGAAGCAGATAAGAAAATATTAACGGAGACTGTTGTGGAGCCGATTACCATGGAAGCTTGCCCCATCCCCACGGAAGCTGCTCCCATTCCCATTGAAGCTGTCGAATCCCCACAGCCAGTTGTAAAACTTACCATCCAGGCCAAGAAACCCACGTCCCCCTCTACAAAAATTATAAAAATTGTCAAGCCCAATAAGGTGATCAACAAAAAGACGACGACCAAGAGAAAACTGCCAACCGATGGGATATCTGGCTCAGGTTTGAGCATTAAGCGGCCAACAACATTAATGATCAAGGAGCCCAACGCTCCACTGCACATTCAGACTGCTACCTCGCCCAGTACTCGCCTTATTACCACCGTAGATCCAGCTAGCATCAAGGTGAATAAGCTGATCATCAGCTTAGCGGAGGAGTCAGCCGCCAGCGATGATGACCTGGAGCTGAGTTCGAGCTTTGCTTATGCTAGTTACACAGACATTGCCAGTCCTTTAAGTTTGGCGATGGGCAGTGTCAGTGGCTCTACTACCAGATCTAATACTCCCATATCCGAGATTGTGGAAACAGCTCCTAGCGCCAATAACAATCTTAGGCGAACTGTGATTAATGAATACTTTGAGAAGAAGATCGATGATTTCCTGAAGCAAGCAAGATCCAAGGCTCCCGTAACAAACTCACCAGAGGCGGCGCCAGAAAAGATTCCTGTGAAGGCCAAGGTTATCGAGAAGCAGCCAACTATAATAGCTACTAAGACTCAGCCGGCTAAAACAACGCCTGTGGTATGTTTGGCTTTTAATAGTTTGCGAGGACAATTAATAATATATTTATTTATTTGCAGGCTGTTCGACATTTGCCAGTAGCTTCGCAGAAGGAATACTTACGTTTAGTCGAACGTATGCAAATGCTGGAGCAGAAAAAGGTTCGGGCAGCCAAAACTGTAGCTCCTGCGGCAGCAAGCAAAGCACCTGTTGTCGGAAAGCCAGCACCTCCCAACGTTTCGGCGCCAAACGCAGTAAAAATTGGGCAAAATATAGCAAAGGCTGCTTCAGAAAGTGCCATTAGTTCCATTACCACCACTACCATCAGCAAGGTTGCCACTGCAGCTGAGAAACCTCAAGGCAAACCCACAAATGGAAAAGCACCAAAGACAAAAGCCAAGCAGAATCAACCATCTAAGGAGAGTCGACTGAAGGCCTTTGAGAATTCGTTTGTCAAGATTGGGTAGATATATCTTTATCTAGGTATAGCTTATAGTTAAAAATCCCTTATTATGCTTCATTGTAGGGGAAGCATGCTAGTTAATTTGGACAAATCACTGCAAATGGTCGAAGAGGCCAAGAAGTCGAAGGCAATACGTCTGCGATGCTCACAACGCCTCAAGGAACTCTTTGCCGAGATGCAGACTGTAAAGCAGACGGTCAAGCAGGAGGAACTTAAACTGGCGAGGATTCAGCCGGAGATTCAGGCCAGCCATGAGATCATCATATCACTCAAGCAGAAACGTCATAAGCTCCATTCGGCAGCAATGGATTTGGGCCGAGGATTAAGGGGCGATGACTACAGGTACTAGCACCATCAACCACAACAGCAACCAGAACGGCGTGGGAAAGCTGGAACAAAGCGATTACTGAAACCAAACCAAATAAGAGGGATGGGAAAGAGTTCTTTGCGATTATAGGTTTGATTTCCTTGCAGGTTACTCGACGAGGGCAAAGCGGCCATCACCCGTAAATCTACACAACTCACTAGGGAGATACGTCTCTACAATTCCATAGTGAAGTACGATGACCTCAAAAAGCTGACTGACGTTGAGGACAGTCAATCAAATACTGTGATCGAAGCGGAATCGAAGACGAGTCAAACGGAGAGTGATTCCCCCGAGCAGCCAAAGGAATTGAAGGAGGCGGATACCCCGGAACAGGCAGTTTTAGAACCTACTCAACCTTCCGCAGAGCCTGCGACTGGAAACCAACCTGAAACGGAGACGGAGCCTGAGATTGGAAATAAACCTGAAACACGGACAAAGATTCCAGATGTGCGTGGATTTCGATTTGTACATATTGCTTCAACTATTGCTAAGAACCTCATTCAACGCGAGCACTTTAGTCCCGAATGTTTGCTAAAACACCACCCTAACAAATCGGTTGAGTTTATTTTCAGGATCAGGCGCAGGACAAGACGATAGATGTGCCTATAAAAGCTGCAGGACCCTATACGGTGTCAATAATGCGGGAACTTCGCGAAGAGAAGGCCGACGAGCCTTATAGGGAGAGCTATCTCCGTGCATATCAAACGCCCATGTCCCGGAACTACAATAGGTGAGTAGGAATCGTACAATCTGTCGCCTGGGGAAATGTATTTGCTTCGTTTCTCCATTCTCAAGCCACCTCGATGTCCACGCGACCATCTGCCCCTTTGATCTAATGGGTCGCTGCGAGGATGCGGACTGCTCCTACCTGCATTTAGCCCGCCCCGATTTCCAAAACGAGCTGCCAAAGACAAACCTCCCTCTCAATAACTAACAAAACTTACTAAAACACTAAAAGTACATATAACCCAAAACAAACATTAAATAGCGTGGTTGAATTCTGGTAAGTTGAACTCTTCACGCGACTTAATATTTAAATGTTGCTTTCAGTCAACGTTAAAAAGAAAGAAACTCACAAATCAAATGCCAAGCAGATGAAGAGAAGCAGCCGCCGATGCAGCGAGTGCAAAACCATAAAAAGAGAAAAAGAACAAAGAAAAAAAACAATCGTTACTAGGTTGTACCTTGTTTGTTATATACATTTATATATATCCCGTGTAGTGCAAGTTCCATGTTCGCCAACGCTCGAAAACGATGTTTCGGGCCACAGTTTGAACGGATGTGCATTCCTACTATCCGCTTATTATTTTTTTTACCTTATTATTTCCAACGATTATTGAACAAACTCGCCATAAATGAATGCCTCAGGGCAAACAACTAGAACAGCATAAATCGTTAATTTTAATACGCGTACTCTTTAATTGATAAAAGCTTGCTTTAAACAATTTATTTGATTGCCAATTGAAAATAGTTTTCGTATCGCAGAGAATGCCAAATTTATTTTTCATTTTGAAATCACTTTTCAATAATCTTTATACATGTTTAATTATTATAAAGTTTTCTAAAAATGAAAAAAATGAATTTACGAAACAAAATTCGCCAAAAAAAGAGATGATGCAAATAAATAAAAGTACAAAATGAAATGAAGACTGTTTAAGTGGGAAAGGGGTAAAGACCACAAATACGCTAATTTAGCCTTGTTTATTCCTAAATATAATTTAAAATAAATACAGTGGGTTATCACAGCCAATCCATACAGGAGTACGAAATAATGTACAGGGTTTTCTTCGCCGCCTGTGCCCCCTAATCCTCGCCCTCATCGTTGCCGAAGTAGACGTATTCCCTGCACCAGTCCTTCACGCCATCGTCGTTGCTGCAGCAAACAGGATACACCATATTCGACTTGGTCACCTTGGCGCACCTCATGCACAGCTCCATCGTATTGGCATCCTTCTCGCACTGCTGCACTTTCAGGACGGTTTCCACGGACAGATTTCCGTGGTACTCGCTGGGATCCGCCTTTGCCTCCCCCGCCGAAGGTCGGGCATCGGCACTGAGTACGTGTAGGGTCACCATCAATATAATGCAGAAGATCTGTAATCAGTCGAGAGTTGAACAATTCATTAATTGAATTTTCGGCTGTGACCCAATTGAGCGCCAAAGGCTGTTCGATGCGCTTTTGTCTGGTTCTAGCCCAACCCGAAAAATATGATCGGGATCAAACGAGTTATAGGGAGTTTAGGTCTTTGGAGTCAAGTCATATTCGAACAAAAGGACAATGCGTTTAGCTCAATCAAGTGCAAAGTGCATTGACACACATTGAGTTTGCGGGCAAACACCGTTTATAATAACATTTATCAATTTAATTAAATCTCTTGCACTTTTGTAGAATGATTCGATTTATTAGCTCAATTCACGTTGAGTGTTTTTTTTAGCCACCTGTTATAAATCATTGTGAAGTGTAATTGCTTTATTTGTATCAAAGTTTATTTCGATTGCAGATTAGCGCTTGGCATTATCTTAAGGATTTTCGGTAGACTTTGTATTCGGACAATCGGATTCAGGGACGGATGTTGTTGCTTACTTTCTGAGCCATGCCGTCGGTTAACTAATACTTTCTCCACACCACGACGAAATTGTTTAGTTCTCGATGTATTATTTGCTATTGCCGAGCTGCCCGCTACTGGGAGCTATTGGGGCTCGAGCATTACTTTTTATACTTGGGAGCCAGGCCATCGCCATCGACATCGACATCGCCATCCGAAGCTAACGCACAGATCGTGCTGGGATCGTGCAGCATTCGTGACACATAATGGTGGATTTGATAGACGAATGCCAGGTACTGGCATTATCTCGGCCGAACTTGCGATGGAGTGGGCTGTGCCCACGAAAGTAATCACATGGGTTGGTATTTACAATGGGTTCGGTAATCGCAGCACACACTTTTGGGATCGACATGATGGCAAACAGGAACCTCACGCTCATGACTCTGCAACTATATACCTTTAATTTAGAAGCCGATTAAAACGAACCTTCTAAGAAGATAATATAAATTAAAATTTCTGCATATTCATGTTCTCAAAATTTTAGATATTTCCTTTTAAAAAAATAGATGTTTTAATTTGTAATTAATAGAAATACATATATTAATTGGAATTAAGGCTTGGAGGTATTGTTTAAACTTTATTGGTAACCTTTAAAAAATAATTCGTTTTAATTTCTGTATAGATGAGAATTGGTTTTCAAAATGTGTACTTCTTTTATTACAATTTTGTTGATATAAAAATTGAATTAAAAGGGTCAAATATAGAGCGAATAAGAAAATAAAGCTAAGAAAATTGTAACAACCTGACAGACGCACATTGTTAATCGAGAAGCTCGATCCCTGCTTTATATTCCTATGACGATCGGTCGAATATGTGTCCGCATAGTGCACATAAATGTTGCGTAGACACAGTCAATTAGTGAAACATCATGTTGCTGATAATGGGATTTCATGGGCGCCTAACTGATTACAACCGATCATTCTGATCCCAGCCGAGAATCGCAATTTTATTGTGCAATGTCTCGGCCAGTGTTTACTTCCGGCAATAAATGGGAATCTCCGGGAACGAAAACTTAATAGAGCTCTCAAAACATCTTACCATAACCATACCCTGACTGACCTCACCCATCATCTCTAGAGCCCTTTTAAAGGCTTGTTGTTTACTCATGTGATTAAATGCATTCGTTCCAACTGCGAAAAAACTAATTAACGATGCATCTGAATCGGTAATTGCATATCAAATTCTTGGAATCGACAGCGGTTATTCCCCGAATTGTATTGAAAACATTTAATTGGTTTATTTTTCGCACTTTAAGTGACAATTTAATATTATCCAAGGTCATGTATGGTAGTCAAAAGTTTCCACTGGATGCATTGTAATTTTCGAAGACCAGTCGGTGTTTTCCCGAACAGATAGCAAAGGGGTTTCAAGATTCTAAAAAAACAAATGTATTAGTTTTATGTATAAAACAAACTATTAAGGGGATTCCAAAATCGTTCAGCAAAGTTCATCATTAAGGACAACCTTGATCCCATCCGTTTCCACTTGATTAAATACATATAAGCCAAATCAATTCCCCGTTATTAGTCCACAATATAATCCATTCAAAACCAATCAAATCAGTAAATAATCTAAGGGGAATTTCTAATGGGCTGGTCTATTTAGATTACAAGTCCCTGAATTAAAATGGGAATGGTGCGTAGATAAAAGAGTACCAGTAAATTTGTCTGAATCTCGAAAATTATGCAAGTTCCTCGGATAGGAGACGGGAAACCGACTTTTGAGTTCAACTTTATTTCTATATTTGAAGACCTACTTTAAGGTATACTAAGCAAACAAACAATGCAGTGCTGATTAGGCTAATCACATCATCGGAATTGTTATTGATTCAAATACTATAATTGCATCAAAGCTTACACATATATTTTTAGCAAATTAAACATTTGTTTATTTCTAGAAGAAGGTGTCTTGAACTCAAATTTTTGCTTTACATTTTCATGTAGTATCCAGGGCATTGTCACCCTATTTGACTAAAGAAAACAAATAATAAACAATGATTCCTTGGCCCAGACAATGAACTTTGGAGTCGCAGATTAAAGCAATCATCCAGAATTTCGTTCTGTTTTCTTTCGTTTTTTAATTAATTAGTCCAATCGAACAGACAGGGAAGCACGTTCTCTCCATATAGTATTTCCCCAGACAAGTGATTTCGGTAATCAGATTAAAGCGAATCTGGAAACATAAATAATGACACTTATTCTGAACGATTTTCGAAATCATCCATCTGATTCACTGCTGGTAAGTGGTTATTGATCGATGGCACTGTTGCCAAGTGGATCGCCCGCGCATGCGGAAACTGTCGTTTCTATATTAATAGTGAGGAGTTGATAAAGATTACAGATCGGCGGCTAAAAATACAATTAAGAATGTTTACAATGCGGTCCCAAAGACTCCGTTATCAGAGGGCGGTCACCCACCACCATTGTTTGTTTGTCTCCGTCTCGATCCTAGATGAGTAATGTCATCAGCCGTATAGTATATAGTACTCACCTTGGTCACCCCATAAATCATGCCCTCTTTTCCACCCACACAGCCTGCGAATGACTTCGGCAAGGCCAAAGTCCGTCGCAACAATCTTGCTCGCGTTTAATGATCCACATCATGAGGCTGAAGTGTGCCACCCATCGAAGGATATAAAATGATTGCGCGATTTGGTTATCGGTCGCGATCTGCTTCGTTAAGTGGTTGATCCAATTTAAACAAACACTCGATTTTGTTGAATTAGCTTTCGCTTTCTTGGTTGATTTTTACAGATAAAGTAAAGACTTACACAACTTACATAATATAATTTTTTATTACAGTCGTTTGATTTTAGTAACTTTCCCATCTATTAATTTCCCATCATTACAAATTTTAAATATATCACTATTGATATTCTTTAAACCCAAAAAGTATTCACCTATATTAGCCGCAATAAAATTGAATTACAGCATTTATTTACTTTTTGGATAAACCTTCCGAATCCTCAAGAATCACGATTTCATAAATTCCACTTCACTTTACTTTTGTAAAAAGTAAATTAAGAAAAACTTTACTGAAAGACAAATAAAATCTATAAAAGTTAAAGTTAAAGCTCAGGAAAATCCCTAGCTACAAAATATATATAACGGTTTTAAGCACTGTTATATTAGTTTAACACGCCAAGGGCCATGCTTTCGTGTATTGTAAGGTGTATTCTAATGATGCCAAAAAAAAAAGATAGTGGGTGCTCCATTCTAGGGCAAAGCAAATCTGGTCAAAGCCGGTCATAGGTTGTTGTCATTTTTTTTTTTGGAAAATAAAATAAAAGCTTTGAAATTACTGTTTTCTTTATTAAAAACCTATTGGTAAAAGTTTATTGTGTTGTAATGTTTACAATAGTCTTTATCATAAGAAATCTTTCAGCATACTTAGAAACATTGTATAATTTTTGTTGCCATATTTATATTTAAAGAACTTACATTTTTATACCCGTTACTCGTAGATTAAAAGGGTATATTGTATTCGTGCAAAAGTATGTAACAGCTAGAAGGAAGCGTTTCCGACCCTATAAAGTATATATATTCTTGATCAGGGTCACTAGCCGAGTCGATATAGCCATGTCCGTCTGTCCGTCTGTCCGTCTGTCTGTCTGTCCGTATGAACGCTGAGATCTCGGAAACTATAAAAGCTAGAAGATTGGCATTTTGCATGCAGATTCTAGGAGTTCCTACGCAGCGCAAGTTTGTTTCAAAAAGGTGCCACGCCCCCTTTAACGCCCACAATCGTTTATATACGATTTTAAAAATTTAAATATTTCGGAAAAGTAAAAATGCAGTTTTATTGTGTTTTTCAATACCTATCGAAATGTAGAAGAAATTTTTCAAATCGGACCATTCGTTAAAAAGTTATGCGTGATCAAAGTTTCTATCTCCATCTCCCTCGCACTCCCTTTACCTGAGTAACGGGTATCTGATAGTCGGGGCACCCGACTATAGCGTTCTCTCTTGTTAATTTTAATTTTTGTTCCCTAGTATATAATCAAACACATATTTTATTTACACGAAAGCTTCATAGTTAAGAAATGTCTTTTTGGTACAAGAAAAAATAAAATAAATTAAAAGCTCTCGTGTCGACAAAATGTAGACAAATGAATTCAACTGAAAACAAATTGACAGAAGCAACAAATAAAACGTAAGTAATAATCTAATAAAATGCATCGAAGGTATTAATTAATTATATTAATTTTTATAAAAGAAATTAAATCTTTATAAAAGTATTTTAAGAAGACTAAACTTTTTCTAATTTGAATGATGTAATCAAGGGAGACAGAGAAATCTCTTCGGTTGGAATGTACAAACAAGGTCTCAGCCAAATTGATATTAATAAAAAAATTGTGTAAACATTTTTACAAATCACCGTGAAGAGCGTTAACTCAGATAAATATATTATATGGGAAACCAAAATTTGTTCTATTAAATGACATTTAATTACATTTTCTGGCACGATTTGTGTAAGATTAATTTACAGAGCTTTAATCTGACCTACGTAACCAAATTCATCTAAATAAACTATTTACCCGGTGATTACCCAAATGTTTGCCTGCCAACTAATTAAATTGGTTGCCAGAATGTAGTCCACATTTGCCGAATGGAAAGTTTCCCAGGAGACGCCAGATTTGCATAGTTTATGGCAGAAGTTGTACAAATGCCATTCGGATGTTGCCTAGACACTAGGCGGCCCCATTATCCCTCCCATTCAATCATTGTCCGTTGTCAATTGCCGATGGCCATTGCAGTGATATTGATTTTCTGTACCGAAACCCCTGATGGACACAAATTACGAGGGCATACTATATAGAATGCTATAGCCCAAGGTCAGTTCTAGTCGGCGCAAACCCTATTATTGGGGGATTTGCGGGGAACGTGACCCGGCTGGCCGTCCATTCCCATTTCCATTCAGTGTCACCTGTGTCACCTGACCTACAAAACGTATCCCATACATAATAGGGGTAAATACCAAGCCGGAGGTGTGTCAACTTATGCAAGTCACTTTACATTTGGAGGCTGATGGTTTTGCCAAGGAATAAAGTGAATTTTACAGTAAGCCTTCGGTCGAACTTTATTCC